GTTGCCTGGGCTGGAGTGCAGTGGCACGATCTTGGCTCACTGCAACTTCTGCCTCCTGGGTTCCAGCAATTCTTGTGCTTCAGCTTCCCAAGTAGCTGGGACTACATGTGTGTACCATCACGCCGGCTAATTTTTGTATTTTTAGTAGCGATGGGGATTCACCATGTTGGCCAGGCTGGTCTCGAACTCCTGGCCTCAAGCAGTCAAACCACATGGGCCTCCCAAAATGCTGGGATTACAGGTGTGAGGCACTGCACCTGGGCAACTATGCGATCTTTAAAAGGCTGAATGCGTACTTCAGTAACTTAGATATAAAAATAACAATTTCAGATATTTTGATTTCCCCTTTATTCTAATTTACTTTGACAAAGACATATGGATTAGAAATGTTTTTCTCATTTTTTGATTTATTCATTAATGTATTCATTCATTTATCAACGCTCTAGTGAATACCTTCTTTCTTTAGTACTAATAGGGCTGACAGTAATGAATATACATAGAGCCTGTTCATGGATATACATGGAGCCTGTTCTTGTGGTGTCTTCAGTGTGGTATGGAGAAAGCAAATAAACAAATTAAAAACAGCTGGATATATGATCTTATTCATCCATTTAATGTAGTTAATGCATCACTCTAGGCACTGGGAATTGGTACCGAGCAAGATATGTTTCCTTCTATCTGGCAACCGATGGTGGCAGAAATTTAAAATTAAAAATAAATGTAGATAGCAATTATTGAACTCTAACAGCTGATCTTAATAGAAGCTAACTCCTAACGATGATAATTCCTTAGGAATGAAGAACCATAGATGCCTTTTAGCAGAATGAAAGTGCCATTTTTATTACGAGTCAGATCTAGCCTGCAGAAATTCTTTAGTGTGCGGTGGCTCACGCCTGTAATCCCAGCACTTTGGGAGGTCGAGGCGGGCGGATCACGAGGTCAATAGATCGAGACCATCCTGGCCAACATGGTGAAACCCCGTCTCTACTAAAAATACAAAAATTAGCCGGCCGTGGTGGCACGGGCCTGTGGTCCCAGCTACTCGGGAGGCTGAAGCGGAAGAATCACTTGAATCCAGGAGGTGGAGGTTGCAGTGAGCCGAGATTGCGCCACTGCACTCCAGCCTGGCAACAGAGCAAGACTCCGTCTCGAAAAAAAAAAAAATAAATAAAATAAATTAACTTCCTCTAATTTACTTTGAAATTCCTAAAACAAAGCAGCAGATGGCGCCATCACCTCATTCATGCCTGCTAATTCTGCTCATCATTTTGGTTAACTCGTGCCAGCCTAGCTCAGATCAAATACCACAGAGAATCAGTTTTTTTTTTTTTTTTTTTAATTATTATCAGTTTTCCTGTACTTATTTACCGTACAAGGATCCCGACAGAGATATAAGACCCATTATGATTTTATGGGTGAAGAAGCAAGCATAGAAAAAGAAACAGTATATCTAAAGTCACACAATCAGTGTCAGATGTTGCATTTATTGCGTAGAGCGTAAACTCTGAAATTAGAAGCTCCACCAGTGACTTGAAGTTTTTTCCTTCTTATGTAATTTAATTCATGTGGTTGGGCTGTTTCCTTTTTAAACTTATTGATTGATTGATTGATTTGAGATAGGGTCTCTGGGCTCTGTTGCCCAGGCTGGAGTGCAGTGGCGCCATCTCAGCTCACTGCAGCCTCCACCTTTCGGGTTCAAGCAATTCTCTCACCTCAGCCTCTCGAGTAGCTGGGATTATAAGGCCTAGGTATGTGGATCACCAGAGGTCAGATGTTTGAGACCAGCCTGGCCAACATGGTGAAACCCCATCTCTACTAAAAATACAAAAGTTAGCTGGGCATAGTGACTCATTCAAACTCTTGACCTCAGGCGATCCGCCCACCTCAGCCTCCCAAAGTGCAGGAATTTATAGGCCTTAGCCACCACACTTGGCCTTCAACCTTTTTCTTGCACTAACATTTAATTAGGGATATTTTTCTCTGAATACACAGACTATCTCTTCCATTGTCTTGAAATACGAAGGGTATTGTTTTTCTAGTTTGTCAATGATTTGTGTAATTAATGTTAATTGTTTTATTTTAAACAAAAAGACAAAAAAGGAGAAAAATGAGAATTAGACTAAATTTTATGTTTATTGAAAATTTCTTTGACAACTTAGAGAGTTAACTGTTTTCATGAGATTGTGATTAAATACAGGGAGACAGTCATAGGAAATCAAAGTCATTTTGGGAAAGACTCTCCCATAGGAGGTCTGGTCTGATTTGATAGTAAAGACACCTTCTTATTACTGACTGCAATGTACTCCCCTCATTATTGTTCTCATTTCTATTTAGGAGACCGATCCTTCTTCCTGGATCCAATTTATTCACTCTATGAGAAATTCCATGGTATCCCTTTGTAAGGCTGGAAAGATTCCTTTTCCTCCCTCATTGCTAGGTTCATGGCACCTATAATAAAACACAGGTTAACAAGAGAATAGCATCCAGATTTATTTAATAGGAGTTACCTGAACAAACAGGCCTTGTTAAGTTCCACTCAGCTTATTACTATTAGATTACACCCTTTTATTCTCCAATCACACTTCTGCATGACTGTCCATAAAAATATTTAGTTTTGGCCAGGCACGGTGGCTCACGCCTATAATCCCAGCACTTTGGGAGGCTGAGGCGGGCGGATCACCTGAGGTTAGGAGTTTGAGACCAGCCTGACTAATATGGTGAAACCCTGTTGGAAAAAAAAAAAAGAAAATAAGAAAAATATTTAGTTTTCCCTGGGTCTTTATTTTAGAAGCCTATCTTGTCATATACCATTTATATGCTTTTGCCTCGTTAGTCTGTCTTTTGTTATAGGGGTCTCAGTCATGAACTTTGTGATGGGCAAAGAAAAGATATTACTTTTTCTCCCCTACATTGGACAAGGGGTGTATAATCTAATGGTAATAAACTGAAGGGAACTTAGCAAGACTAATTTGTTCAGATTCTTCTTGGCATCTCTGTGTCTTCAAAGATAAGGATGTTTCTTTTCTCTGGGAAAGGATACTTCTAGAATGAGGGTCTTATGACCTGCTTCAAGGCAGAAAGATGGGGAAAGGTGTGAGAGTGAACTTCCTGATCCTGCTGTTTTCTCAAAGGCCAAGAATCCATATTTTGGGGTAGCATGTCCTCAACCTCACACGCTGCTTCCCAAGCACTGCATATAGAACCGAAAGACTGATGAATGCTGCGATTAAGATCCACATTACCACTTTGCAACATGTCCACAAAAACTTAGTAAAACTTTTGTGGAAGCTTAAGTAAGGTGTGGAAGCTCAGTTAGGTACACTCCTTGAGTACCTTCCATTTTGATAGGTAGTTAGATGGTGAGAAATGCAGAACCCTCATCACATAACAACTCCACCCAAATCTCTGCACTAGAGACTCAGCAAGCTCTAGCGTGCCTTCTAGTAGCTTAAGGCAAGGTCCATAGGATGACAGCGCTACTTAAAATGCCAGCCTGAGGAAGCCCAATGCTGCTAGGAGGATTTACTTTTTGTTCCAGTCAAAACTTGGTAACAGATAGGCTCCCGAATTCCTGTTAGAGCAGTTACGTTAGAAATCTTACAGTTAAATTCTTTCTCTGCCCTTTGAGAAGCAAATCTACCACACAGAACTGTTTCTTCAAGGACCTGGGAGCTGTTTTCTTTGACATGCAGACATTCAGGGAGCTAAATCTTGCTCTTTCTTTTAGTTGGAGGATAAAGACCAACTTACCTGGGTGCTTCACTTCAACCTGCACCACGCCTATCTGTCACATAGATAGGCGAAGTTTCTCCCTCCTCTGGATAAGGGCCAATTAACAAATCCAGATGGTCTAGTCACATTAACCTCCTTAACACCACTCAATATATTTTCCTTAGCACACGCCATACTTTAAAATGTTATCAGCTTTACTTTTGGGGAAGTTGAGTTCAGTTCACGCTGCACTCTTTCCTTGTGCAAGAGTATTGCTGAATAAAACCTGTCCTCACCACCTTAACTAGTATTCAGGTTTGTTGATCTTTGACAACATTCAGATGTCTCCTGCACTCTATGGGCTTCAGGGTCTGGTAAATGAGTTGGGCACTGCAGTTTCCATCAATGTTAGGTGTTTTCTATATTTCCTTGACTTGATCATTACTATGGAAATGGGAAGAGGGAAAAAAAATCAAACGTTTAGCATACTAGCATAATATTTCAGTCCCAACACCTTCCATAAGCTGTTCCTTGCAATATGAGTGTATGGGATGATGAAAGACGCATGTAGCGTAACGAAAAGACCGTGAGTTTTGCAGCAAGAGTCAGCTTTAGTTTGATTCCTTGCTCTAAATTTTTTAAATTACCTTCTTAAACCTGAGAAGGAGACTAAATTTTCTGTCTAATTTTTGCATCTGAAAACAGAAATAATAATCCCTACTATATAGACTCGAAAAAGTGAGATTGAACAAAACATGTGCAACATGTGGTACCTACCTCATAGCAATTGTTCAATAAATAAATGTTGTTTTGTATTATTAATATCTGATAATTCCCAGAGGTTTGTTTTCTCTGTCTGTTGTTAGAACAATGCACCCTCTCATGCCAGCCCTCATTTAGCTATCTACATATTTCCTCTATTAGGCAATGAGTTTCTTTATAGGTATAATTTTTCTTTGTATTCTAAGCTCCTGTCCATTGAAAAGGTGGGCATTCAGTATCTGTTTACATAATTTAAAAAATACATGAATAAATACATGAACAAAGTTACAACAAAGTTGGGGTAAATGCAGAGTACCAAAACAGTAGCAGTTTGCATAGGTTAAATTAATTACTGATGTCAGATTCAGCTATGAGAGTAATGAAGGCAGCATCACACATTAATTTATGCGTTTATCTTACATTTGTTTTGAAACAGAGACTTATCTGCTATGCTGCCTTTTAGTTTTCCTGAGTCAGCAGTCTCAGAAACAGGACCTAAAGGTACCAATGGAAAATTACCACAGCATTGTTTCACTTCCTGCTTTTGAATATCTGGTTGAACGACTTAAGCTTAATTTGTTAAACTCCAGTAAGTGACTATCCCACATGGTTTGACTCAGAGATTCTCTTTCGTCCACAGGCAATCGTGTCAGGAGCAGAAAGAAAAGAGCTCCCAAATGCTGTGGCTCTTCAGGGGCTCTCAAGAACAATGGAATATCCTGATTTAGAAAATTTGGATGAAGACGGATATACGCAATTACGGTTCAACTCTCGAAACAATACCAGGATATCCGTTGTTTCAGAGAAAGGTATATACATATATATATATATATATATATATATATATATATATATTTTTTTTTTTTTTCCTAACGTATGGCTTTAGCTCTCCCATTCAAAAAGGTATAAAAGGAGAAAATTTGAGAGGCTCATGATTGGTACAACTTTATGGATATATTTTTAAAGGGCTTCCAATGTCACTGAAGACAATTTGCGCCCTAAACCTTTTTTCATGAAAATTATTCTGTGACCAATTATTAATATTTAAATTAATTATGTCTGATGGCAGAAAATGCAGTTTCTCTTTTCTATAGACATAGACACTTCATCAGTGAGAAACTGGTAATAAGTGGGATAATAACAAAGATGAAGGACTTCTACATGAGCGATTTGATAGAAAGGATAGATTATAGAATGGAGGCAGGAAACTCAGGGAAGTAAATATAAATAACATTTTTTATTGTGGTAAGAGATTAATTTGGATGATTTTTAAAGAAAAAAGGGTTATTGATATACCAGTGAAGGAAAATAGATTAATATATGGGAGATAAAAACCTCCCATCTCCAGGAGTATTTGCTCAAAATACAAAAACAAGCAAAAACTCCCATCAGCAAGACATGAATCTTAAACAAAATGTAAATGAAATGAAATAGAAAGAAGGGCATTGGAGGATCTCTGTATTCACAGAAAGAGTGATTTAGTCTACTCTTATGATTCTCCTATGTGACAATTCTATGAAATGTCCTTACAGCTTAGTCTCAGTGGAAAGTAGAAATACATTCTGGTTATGGCAATGTTAATGCAAACTTAATTCCCTATTATCTTTAGAAGGGAGCTCCTTTGTCAGTTTTGACACCAGAGCTTGCTTTCTTCTGCTTTCTTGTTATTCACATTGTGCAATTATTTTCCTCCCAGCACTGATGTAATTCTTTTCTTGGGAAACTTATTGAGGAAGGATAGAAAAATCACGTGAGGCAAGGGGTAGGGAGCCATGTGAGTGTTGATGCAAATGTGTAGGCTGACAGTATTCTGTAACAACATGCCTATAATGTCCTAGCAGTCTCTAAACAAGGCGCTTTTATATGTGTTAGCTTTTTTAATTCCCATAATAATCCTTTGAGATATTACTCCAATTTCACAAAGAGGAATAAAAAACAACGAAGGTAGTAACTTGCCCTGGGTCATGCAACAAACATACAAAAAGGGAAAATTACCCTCAGTAATCAGTGCTGTCTCCCCAGCATCAAGCTATTTCCTCTAAGAAGCAGCAGGATTTCAGGAATCTAACGTCAAGACCCGTAGGTATCAATGTGGAGCTGAAATTAGGAGCATACAGATATCAAGGCAATGAGCTGAAATGACAATTCTAGCAGTTGAAGAAGAGGTATCCTTACAGGTGGAGAAAATCACAGCTAATCCTAGATGACTAGGTAATCTAGGCAGTGATTAATAATTCACTTTTTGTTGTTGTTTGTTTTGCTTTGTTTTTTGTTATTTCAGCATATCCCTCTGTTGCCCAGGCTGCTCTGGAATTCCTGGGCTCAAGTGATCCTTCTGCCACAGCCTCCAGAGTAACGGGGACTACATAGCTCACCACCATGCCCAGCTAATTAATTAATTAATTAATTAATTAATTTGGTAGGGACAGGGTCTCCCTGTGTTGCCCAGGCTGGTCTTGAGCTTCTGGCCTCAAGCAATCCTCCTACCTCAGTATCCCTTCTGGGATTGCAGGTGTGAGCCACTGTGCCTGGCCAGATTTTTGAGGCACTGTAGAATTAAAGTGCCCCACCATCCATTGTTCTCCTTCTTTATTCCACTTCTGCCCTCTCTGGCTCCTCAGGATCTTGTGCTGCATCTCCTCCTTGGCGTCTCATTGCTGTGATTTTGGGAATTCTCTGCTTGGTAATACTGGTGACAGCTGTGGTCCTGGGTACCACGGGTGAGTATGTGGTGGGGGAGATTAACAACAACAACAGACAATTCAGTAAGCAATTATTATGTGCCAGGCACTCTTTTAAGGGCTTGACAGGCATAATCTACTTTAATTTATATATAATCTGGTTTTATCTGTATTGAGTTGGTGCTATGAATGCCCATTCCCTTAGGTGTGAGAAACTGAGAGGTTATTTTACCTTTCCAGGGTTATAAGCTGGTTAGTGGTGAGACCATGATTAGAAATTTAGGTGATCTGTCCAAAAAACTCGTAGCTGCGGAATTCAGAAGATAAATTAATGGAAGGAAGTACAATATGATGCTGTCTTCCTAATGAAATAAATTCACTAAAGGGACGTTAAGCTATTTCTAGGAGGGTCATTATTTAAGGAAATTATTTCTGATCTTTAATAGAAGCACCTTTGAATATAACAGAAATGCCTGAGGCACTTGGTCCTAAGTGCCTTTGTAATGGATGACTATCTTTTTTTCTTTTCTTTTTTTTTTGAGATCGAGTCTCTCTCTTGATGCCCAGGCTGGAGTATAGTAGCCCCATCTCGCTCATTGCAGCCTCTGTTTCCTGGGTTCAAGTGATCTCCTGTCTCAGTATCAGCTGGGACTACAGGCGCCCGCCACCACAATTGGCTAATTTTGTATTTTTGGTAGAGACAGGGTTTCACCTGTATTGGTCAGGCTGGTCTCAAACTCCTGACCTCAGGTGATCCATCCACCTTGGCCTCCCAAAGTGCTAGGATTACAGGCCATGGGTCACCACACCTGGCTAGGATGAATATCTTTTTTCAGATATTACATCACATGCAATATGTTATCAAGCGCCTTCAGAGAATCTTCATGACATTCCTTAGTTAGTCGAATGTTTATTGGCATTCTATGTTATAGGTACTGGGCAGTTTCTCAGGGAGCTCTCATTTTTAAATAATAGAAGAAAGGTGAAAGACGTTGCTATTTCCAATCTGTCATGGCTCCAGTTGACTGTATGACATTTGCCTCTTGCTGCCTCCCTCATTCTATTTCTTCTTCTCTATAAGAATTTTCACTATACCTTCTTTATGAATGTTATTTATTTTTTTGTCTATTCTATCAATCAATCGTCTTTACCTCTCCACAGCAATATATCATCTATTTATCATTAATCAATAATGTATCCTTTTATTCCAATATCATATGGGTTTGGGATTTTAATTTTCAAACATAGCAGAATGACATTTTTTTGTCACTATTATTGTTGTTGGTATATGAAGCTTTTTGGAGATCCAATTCAGGAAGCAACCCATTGAAGAATGGCAACTTTCCATCAAGAAATAAAGAGAACCACAGTCAACCCACACAATCATCTTTAGAAGAGAGTGTGACTCCTACCAAAGCTGTCAAAACCACAGGCAAGGGCATAAAGGATCGAATCTTGATTCAAGAGGGTTAATTCTTGGTGCTGAGGCCTGGGGCAGGGATATAAAGAAAATATGCTTTGATCCAATGATTGTACATTAAAGGCAAGCACACATATCAGTATTATCTTAGTGTAATGTATCCCTGTCATATATACAATAAGGTGAAATTGTAAGTACCCTATGCAGTTTACTGAACAGTTCTAAATTGGACTTTAATAATTTTTAAAATCAGTAACTGATTTATCACTGGCTATGTGCTTAGATCTATAGGAGATCATATAATTTGATACAAAGAAAAGTGTTCTCTCTCCTTACAGAATTGACATTTTTAAAGCGATACAGTTAGAATACAAAATATGACATTAGAAAGGAAGAATGACTGGGAGAAAAATAAGGGAAAATGTTGCCAAGAATAAAGAAGCTAAATTAAAAATACACAAAAGAGGTAGACCTAATACACATGTTCCTAAAAACTCATCGAATTTGTTTAATCATACAATTTCATTTACTTAATTACAATTCTATATACACTTGACCTTTTCTTCTAATTGCATCATAATTAACTGTCACTTAGTATTTTCATTTTAATTTTTCATGTCTGGACCCGTACCTCCTCAACATTTTTGTTAAGCAGTTAATAATAAATAACAGAGATACTGTGTAATATGAATAATTGACCTATACTGTTCTCATTTGGAACGTCACATTCTGAAGTAGATCTTACATCATAAAATAAATTAAGTAGCAAGATGAAATTGCCATGTACCTCAGTGACTGATTGTGAGTGGACTTATTTTAAGTAGTAATTAAGGAGAAAGGTAGTTTTGAGCTGAATCTGAAGAAATCAAACTCAAGAAAAAAGGATGGTTGGCTGCCTAAAATACTATTCATAGTTAATTCGTTTTTAAATTTTAAATGAATAGGAAGATTTGAATGTATTCTCATCGGTAAAATCATATCCCTATAGTTTGAATTGAAAATGAAATATAATAATGGCAACTTATTGGTTATTTTGTAAGTGTCCTTAAGATGAATGGTGTTCACACTAAAAGAGTGAATTGGTATGCTATGAACCTCATGGTACTAATCTTTTATTTCCAGGAGATCTTTCCAGCCCTTGTCCTCCTAACTGGATTATATATGAGAAGAGCTGTTATCTATTCAGCACGTCACTAAATTCTTGGGATGGAAGTAAAAGACAGTGCTCTCAACTGGACTCTAACCTCCTGAAGATAGACAGTTCAAAAGAATTGGTAAGTATAGATTTCTGTTATAATTGTCTGTGATCTGTATCCAAAAGGAAAACAGAGGGAGATTCCAGGTAATGACAATTTTCCCTAAAATGAAGTCTTCCTCTTCTTTTTTTCTTTTTTTTTTTTTTGAGGCAGAGTCTCGCTCTATTGCCCAAGCTGGAGTGGTGCAGTGGTGCAGTTTACGACCTACTGAAGCCTTGACCTCCCCAGCCTCAAGTCATCCTTCCACGTCAGCCTCCTTAGTAGCTAGGACTACAGGGTGCATCACCATACCCATCTATTTTTTTTTTGTATTGTTTTGTAGAGATGGGGTTTCCCCATATTGTTTGGGCTGGTCTCACACTCCTGGGCACAAGTGATCTGCCCACCTCGATCTCCCAAAGTGTTGGGATTACAGGTTACACTCGGCCAAAAGTCATTTTTACGGTAATTATAATCATAGCATGCCTTAAGCATATAAAGTGCATAGTATAGGCTTTTATTTTTAACTAATTAAAAAAAACTGTGTTTCACTTTAAAACAAATCCTTTGAAACACACTCCATGTATACATGACTGCAATAATCAGGCCACTACCTGTTTTTGTGAGTTTGTATTTCAATTTTTAAATTTGGTGGAGTATAGTAGAACATTGTCCTTCTTGTCATCATAATTATCAAGAAAAATGGCAACAATGATAATATATGTTTATAAATTATTTGCTCTTTGCAAGATACTTGAAAGGCAAAGAGGGTTAAAAAATAGCCCTGCTATCACAGGACACATATAATTTTTTAAGTAAAAAGAAGCAACTTAGGAGTTATTAAAAGTTAAATATCTCGCATTGGCAATAGCTATCATAGAATTTGAAAGAGATCACTGTGTTCATAAGAAGTTTTCATAAAAAGTGGCACTTATAAACCATCATGAATGAAGGGTAGAGCTTAGATGAGGTATGAGAATGGGTTAATAGGAAATATTCTACATTATAAATCTAAACCAGTTGGTAACTTTTACGTCTACTTTGACTATTCTCATTTTTTTTTTGTTTCTGTAATGTCTTACCCAGTAGTAATAATTTGTGTTAAAGTTAATGGAACTAGATAAATGGTGAAGAAAAAGTACTGGATTACAAGCCTATCTGACTTTTAGGCCAGCCTATAATTGAAAGTAAATTGTTCTGTATTTGTCAACAATTCAGGTCTCTTCATTGACCCTCACATTACTTATTCATAAAATATGCCATTGGACTAAATTATTTTTAAGTTTTTACCTAACTCTGAGAATTATTTCTTAACGAGAGTAGCATCCATTTATTTCTTCAATTGGAGGAGAAGATAGTGGCCAATCATCCATGAAAACTGCCTAGGGGGCCTGTCATCTGGGATTTTGTCAATAGATTGAATGGAGGCAGTACAATCTTGACATTATAAATCTATTCTCTTGGAAAATTAAATGATAATTACTTTAAATAAATAAAATAGGCCTTTTGAGACATTCGATGACATTCAAAAATTGACATTTCTCTCGAGGTTGATGTCAGGTTAGGCATGCATCCTTCAGCAAAGTGATTCAATCAGTTGTCTTTTTCTCCGTGTTCATGCTAATAGTATCTCTCTCTCTGTTGTCTATTTGTGTTCGTTTCGTTACAGGGATTTATATTAAAGCAAGTGTCTTCCCAACCTGATAATTCATTTTGGATAGGCCTTTCTAGGACCCAGACTGAGGGACCGTGGCTCTGGGAGGATGGATCAACATTCTCTTCTAACTTGTAAGTGTTTAGAGACAATGCTTCATCCTCTTTCTCAGAGGGAGGTTTTCACCTCATCTATGAAAACCTGTCAAGCAGCTAAGAACCTGATTTGCTAACCATATTTGAGAAAGAGAGAAAGACATAAAAGAAGAGAAGGAGTGAGCTAGGACAAAAGGAGAAGAATAAGGAGGATTTGAGAGTGAAAAGGAGCTGAGAGGCCATCTAGTGCCATCAACACAGATGTTCTTTTGGTTTTCTTACCAGGGAAGCATCTGACATGTTTGAAGTTGTCCAGACAAGGAGCAGTCACTGTCAGTCAGTGTAACCCTCTGGTTAAGAACATCGGTTTTGAAGCCAGGCCTCAATTTGGGTTATTAGCTCACTCACGGATTGTGTGACATTGGGGATGAGTCATTTTTCCTCTCTGAGTCCTGTTTTTTTATATCCATAAATGAGAATAGAAAGAGTGCTCTGGACTGGAAGTGGTGGCTTACGCCTGTAATCCCAGCACTTTGGGAGGCCTAGGGTGGTCGGATCACTTGAGGTCAGGAGTTTGAGACCAGCCTGACCAACACGGCAAAACCCCATCTCCACTAAAAATACAAAAATTAGCCAGGTGTGGTGGCACTTGCCTGAACTCCCAGCTACTCAAGAGGCTGAAGCAGGAGAATTGACTGGACCTGGGAGACAGAGGTTACAGTGAGCCAAAATCATATCATTGCACTCTAGCCTAGATGACAGAATGAGACTCTAGCGAGACTCCAACTCAAAACAAACAAAAGACAAAAACAAAAGAAAGAGTGCTATCTCTTAGAATTGTGAGTTGGGTATAAAAGTAAAATTATTGGGCGAGGTGCAGTGGCTCACGCCTGTAATCTCAGCACTTTGGGAGGCAGAGGCAGGCAGATCATCTGAGGTCAGAGTTTGACACCAGCCTGACCAACATGGAGAAACCCCGTTTCAACTAAAAATACAAAATTAGCTGGGCGTGGTGGGTCATGCCTGTAATCCCAGTTACTTGGGAGGTGAGGCAGAAGAATCACTTGAACCCGGGAGGCGGAGGTTGCAGTGAGCTGAGATTGTGCCGTTGCACTCCAGCCTGATCAACAAGAGTAAAACTCCGTCTCAAAAAAAAAAAGAAAGAAAGAAAGTAAAGTTATTTACATAGTGTCTTGTACATAGTTAATGTGTGATACTTATTATTAAGTTAAAAAGTAGCCACATTTTCACATTTTGCATTTTAGAAAGATGTTTTAAATGCATTTCACATTTGCATGATTATACATTATTCCTTATTATGTGTTGAAGACTTTGTCACTGCCGTTGTCATTCATTTGCTTTTTCTTATTCAGTTTTTCTTATAACACTTTTTCTTAGTTTTTTTTCTGTTCATTTGGAATGTGCTCTTTCACATCTTTTACATTTCTTTTACTAATCTTTTAGTAGTTGTTCTTGGAATTATACATGTAACCTTCACTCATCAAAGACTAATATTGACTGGCATTTTTATGTTCTTCCTGATCAATATAAAAATCAATAAAACATTCCTTTACTCTGTTGACTCCCTCCTCAGTTTATATGCTATTATATTAATGCATTTATTTTTATTTTATCACCCGTGCTGTAGTGCAGTGGCGCAATCTCAGCTCACTGCAGCCTCTGCCTCCTGGGTTCAAGTGATCCTCCCACCTCAACCTCCTGAGTAGCTGGGACTACAGCTGTGCACCATCAGCTGGTGTGTGGTGGTGCGCACAGGTAATCCCAGCTGCTCAGAGGCTGATACATGAGAATTGCTTGAACCCGGCAGACGGAGGTTGCAGTGAGCTGAGATCATGCCACTGCACTCTGGCCTGGGCAATACAGATAGATTCGGTCTCAAAAAAAAAAAAGCCCTTGTTTGGGCTGGGTGCAGAAACCCATGCCTGTAATCCCAGCACTTTGGGAGTCTGAGGCAGATGCATCACTTGAGGTCAGAAGTTTGAGATCCAGCCTGGCCAACATGGTGAAACCCCATCTCTTAAAAAAAAAAAAATACAAAAGTTAGCCAGGCATGGTGGTACACAGCAGATTTATGCAGTTAGTATTCAATTCTATTTGCCCACATATTTATGATTTTAATTATTTATTTCTTCGTTTCCTACTGTACATTTCAGGTATTTTTTCTTAAGCCTGACATTTTCAATAAGTATAGGATTAGAGGTTTGTTGTTTTTCCTCTCAGCCATTCAAATATTTTATTTCACTTTTTTTCTATTTTTTATTTTTCCTCTTTCTCCTTCTCCTTCTTCTTTTTTGGTGCCGTGACCCAGATCCGATATTCTTTGTGTGAGTTCATCTGTTTGAAGCTAATATATGGCTTAAATCTGATGTCTTTACTCAGCAATGAAAAATTCTCAGCCATAGTTGCTTCAAATTTTGCTCTTTCCCTATCTTTTTTCCCTTCTCCTGGAATCCCAGTTATGTTCATTATAGATCCATTTACAGCATCCTATATGTTTCTTTTGCTTTTTCCTGAGTTTTCATTCTTTTTTATCTTTTTGCTCCAATCTATGTAATTACCTTTCACATATCTTCCAGTTCATCTGTTTTCATCATCTGTGGCTAATCTGCTGTTAAAGGTCTCTATTAAGTTTTTTATTTTGTTTGGTGACATTTTCAGTTCTATAATTTTAGTATGGTTTTTTTCTCAAATCTGTTCTTTCAACACTTATACTTCTCATTTTTCTTCCAACATTCTCAGTACTGTCTTTTAACTCTTAGAATACACTAACCATAGTTGTTTTAGCATGTGTCTGAATGTCCTGTGTGTATCTGTCTATATGTAATTCCAATGTCCTAATGTATTTGTCTCTCTCTCTCTCTTTTTTTTTTTTACTATTTTGCATTTGTGTTGATTAGTTTTCTTTTATGTCAGATTGCTTTTTATAGGGTGTTTAACATTGTATCTTAAAATCTTTGCAGAATTAATTCGAAGTGTTTTTTCATTTGCCTCTGTTCTCACCACAGAGTCTGTTCACTCAATGGTGTGAATGGTACAAATTGCTGAGTATAGTCACTTAACTGTTTTACTTCTACTAGGCCAAGTACAGTGAACTTATTAACAAACAATCAGCCAAATGTATTTTCTACTTTTTTATAGAACTTGTTTGTCTTGAGTTTTCTTTTGCTAGTTTAAACATATAGCTAGAGGACTTTCTATAATCACAAGCGTGGGCCCAAGTTAACATTTCGATATGTTACTACTCTGTGGTTTTCTTGGTGGCATTTATTTAATCTAGCTATGTCTGTACCCCCAAAACACTTAGATGTCAAGGAAAATTTTTTTAAAAATAATGCTGATCAGAGTTTTCCCTGAGGTATAAACTAAGTAGTTAATCCTAGTTTTAGTCATCTCTAAAGCAAAGTTTTCTCAATCCTCCAACCTCAGGGTCAAGAAGAAGAGATAGATACCCAAGACGAAGAGCGCCAAGTCATAGCTTTTGCACTGAGGTGCAGTGATCCTCTTTGAGTTTGACTAATTAACACTGCTCCTTCAGGATTTTGAAGACCAAATTGAGTAGGACAAGGCTTCCATTTACCAATGTTGATTACCATAACTGTCAATATAGTTCTGCTTTCAGGATAAATTAAAATATACAGAGTTGTTTCCCCTTCCTTTAAATGATCTGATTTAAAGGCATCTGTGATTCTTTTTTTAGTTCTAGATTCCTTTCAGCATTAATACTTCTGCTTGGTCTACTCACTAAGTATATTTAATAATAATTTCACTGAACTGTTGCTTGATTTGATAAAGAAACATCTAAGTAATAGTTTGAAAGACATATAAAGAACTTTTTATAGAATATTAAATGATTTTTCTTCTTTGCCAGGATTTTTTTTTAAGTTTATGCAACTAGTCTCATTTCTAGAAAAATATTATGTCATTTTTTGCCTTAATAATGGAAACGATTCATTTAACCACTTGAGATTAAAAACAATTTAGATTTAAGCCTCTTTTTCCAATAATAGAAACACTTCAGAACTCTTTTCACCAGTATCCTTACTAATTAATTTGAGTGCCATGTAGACAGTATTCCTTAACATTTGTTCTAATTACATCATTGTATTCTATTTTAACAGATTTCAGATCAGAACCACAGCTACCCAAGAAAACTCATCTTCCAATTGTGTATGGATTCACGTGTCAATCATTTATGATCAATTGTGTAGTGTGCCCTCATATAGTATTTGTGAGAAAAAGTTTTCAATGTAAGGGATAGGGTAGAGGAGGAGGAAAGAAATATGTGAGCTAGTAAGGAGGACAGAAAGCGGAACAGAAAAGAGTAACAGCTGAGGTCAAAATAAATGCAGAAAAAGTTTAGAGAGCTTGGCCAACTGTAATCTTAACCAAGAAATTGAAGGGGGAGGCTGTGATTTCTGTATTTGTTGACCTACAGGCAGGCCAGTATTATTGTTCTAGTTAGTAGATCTCTAGACATGGAGTCAGGGCAGTCAAGCTTGAATTTTTTTTTTTTTTTTTTTTGACAGAATCTCGCTTTGTTACACAGGCTGGAGTGCAATGGTGTGATCTTGGCTCACTGCAGCCATCTTCTCACCTCAGCTCCCCCCAGGTAGCTAGGACTACAGGTGCATGTCACCATGCCTGGCTAATTTTTGGTATTTTTTGTAGAGACTGGGTTTTGCCACGTTGACCAGGCTAGTCTCCAACCCCTGGGCTCAAGTGATTGCCTGCCTTGGACTTCCAAAGTGCCAGGATTACAGACATAAGCCACCATGCCTGGCCCCAAGCTTGAAGTTTCACTTTGCCATTGACTTGGTATTTACCTGGGATAAGCCATAAGATAATCTTAATTCCTGGCTCTATTGGAGTTGTTTTTGACTCAAATATGCCTTTGAAGTGCATGGTGTGTTGCCACAATTTGTCCCTTAACTTCTAGCAGTATATCAGACATGGATTGAGGGTGAAATACATTTCTGAAGAGCTAAATGAAGAAATGGAAAAAAATCTTGACCACAATC